CAATAGCTGGAACATTGTAAGCACTTCATAAATGCTAGCAGTTATATTTTAGGACTGGTAAGACTGTTCTACTTCATCTTTTTCTAAGTATCATAAATTTAATATAAACTATTCAAAATAGCAGTGGTTTTTCTTGCACTGCCTGTAACCTTTGAGTCCAGGTGGTTTCTTGACAAACTGTGATTGTAAGGCTGTATATATCACATAAAAAACAAACACTCTATTTTTTGCTTTTATCATCAATAAAGCTGATGAATTAATTGTCCCAATAATTTGGCATGATTTGAGGTGATCAGGGAGTTCAGGGTGAGGAGTAAGGTTTCCTTTCAAAGCTAGAAAATTATTTATCTCTCCATTTCAAAAAATCACACATTTTCACTGTTTATCCTGAAATCATGATACGTTAGCCTTAATTGTCCTTGTTTGCTGAAGTATGAGACATAAGGAGATTCTGTTCTCTCAGCAAGTTATGGTTTTCTCTATTTCGTTTCCTGAAGTCTGTGCCAAATTGTTCAGAAACTAATCCTTGCTTCTCTGGTTGGTATATTTTTCTGTTCACAGTTTGCTCCTTTTTTTTTTTTTTCTCCTCCTGGGAATCAGGCAATGCAATCATAAACCAGCGCAATTCCTAGGCCATTGTTTTTAGATTTGAATCTTAAAAATTGCCAAAGTAAAAATATTTATGCTTTAAAAATATTATTAAAAGCATCAAAAAATAAAAAAAAATAACCAAAAGCATGGAATTTTTACCAGGACTTTTATGTGTTGCTCAATCTTCCAATTTCTTTCTTTCCTTCATATAAAATATTTCATGCCATATGATAGCTTGTATTTTAAAACCTACAGGAATTGTTGTATAATGTTACAATAGGCTTTTCTATTCATCCATTTTCGGTTAGTTTATTCTAGCACTCAGATTCCAAGACCAGCAATTTAATTTTCGTAGCTTTCTTCGATTTGCCGACCCTCCATCAATGCTCCTGACAAATGAGAAGTTAAAAAACCTACCCAGAGAGAGAGGGCACATTCTATGAGTCATTCTTTTAGAATATTACATCAGTAAAACTAAGCACCTAAGAATATAGAAAATAATCTAAGAAAACTATAAATTATGACAATCAAATGGTTTTTTTCTTTCTTTCCTTGTTTGTTTCTTTAGCATATACTATACATAGCAAGTGTAAAAGGTATCTAAAAGCTATAGGGTACGGCTCCTGGTTCTTGCTTTCAAGATGATTTTAATCTAGTTGGAAATGATTAAACTATGCTTGAAACACAACTAATAGTGCATGATATTAAAAAGAGAGAGAGATACATATATATATATATATATATATACACACACATGTTATAAGAATTAAAAGATGAAATAGGAATAGAAGGGAAATTCCTCAACATAATTAAGGGCATTTATACAAAGACAAGAGCTAACATCATCCTAAATGGAGAGACTTTGAAAGCATTCCCCTTGAGAACGAGAACCAGACAAGGATGCCCATTATCACCACTCTTATTCAACACTGTGCTGGAGGTCCTGGCCAGAGCAATTGGGCTAGAAAAAGAAATAAAGGGCATCCAAATTGATAAAGAAGAAGTAAAAGTATCTCTATTTGCAGATGATATGGTCTTATACACAGAAAACCCCAAAGATTCCTCAAGAAAACTACTGAAACTAAAGGAAAATTTCAGCAAAGTATCAGGATACAAGATAAACATACAAAATTCAGTTGGATTCCTTCACACCAACAAAGAGAACTTCCAAGATGAAATCACCAAATCAATACCATTTACTATAGCCCCCAAAAAGATAAAATACTTAGGAATAAATATAACCAGAGACGTAAAAGACCTATACAATGAAAACTACGAGACACTACTGCGAGAAACCAAGAGACCTGCATAAGCCGAAAAACATACCTTGCTCATGGATAGGAAGACTCAACATTGTGAAAATGGAATTCTACCCAAAGCAATCTACAGATACAATGCAATCCCAATCCAAATTCCAATGGCATTTTTAATGAGATGGATAAACAAATCACCAACTTCATATGGAAAGGGAAGAGGCCTGGGAAAAGTAAAGCATTACTCAAGAAGAAGAACAAAGTGGGAGGCCCCACACTACCTGATTTGAGAACCTCTTATACTGCCCCAGTAGTCAAAACAGCCTGATACTGGTACAACAACAGATACATAGACCAATGGAACAGAATTGAGAATCCAGATGTAAATTCATCCACCTATGAGCAGCTGATATTTGACAAAGGCCCAAAGGCCATTAGTTGCGGAAAAGACAGTCTCTTTAACAAATGGTGCTGACATAACCGGATATCCATCTGCAAAAAACTGAAACAAGACCCACACCTCACACCATGCACAAAAGCTAACTTAAAATGGATCAAAGACCTAAATAAAAAATCTAAAATGATTAAGATCATGGAAGAAAAAATAGAGACAACACTCGGAGCCCTAATACATGACATAAACAGAATACAGAACATTACTAACAATGCACAAACACCAGAAGAGAAACTAGATAACTGGGAGCTCCTAAAAATCAAACACTTCTGCTCATCAAAAGACTTCACCAAAAGAGTAAAAAGACAACCTACAGACTGGGAAAAACTTTTTGGCTACGACAAATCTGATCAGCATCTAATCTCTAAAATCTACAAAATACTGCAAAATCTCAACAACAAAAAGACAAACAACACAATTAAAAAATGGGCAAAGGATATGAATAGGCACTTTGCTAAAGAAGACACTCAGGCTGCTAACAGACACATGAGGAAATGCTCACGATCATTAGTCATTAGAAAAATGCAAATGAAAGCTACATTGAGATACTACTCACCCCAACAAGGCTAGCATTAATCCAAAACACACAAAATAAAAAGTGTTGGAGAGGTTGTGGAGAGACTGGAACACTTGTACACTGTTGGTGGGAATGTAAAATAATACAACCACTTTGGAAGTCGATTTGGCGCTTCCTTTAAAAGCTAGAAATAGAAGTACCATACTATCCAGCAATCCCGCTCCTTGGAATATATCCTAGAGAAATAAGAGCCATCACAGGAATAGATATATGCACACCCGTGTTCATTGCAGCGCTGTTCACGATAGCAAAAAGATGGAAACAACCTAGATGCCCATCAACAGATGAATGGATAAACAAATTGTGTATATTCACACAGTGAAATACTATGCAACGATAAAGAACAACTATGAATCAGTGAAACATGTTATAACATGGAGGAATCTGGAGGGCATTATGCTGAGTGAATTTAGTCAGTTGCAAAAGGACAAATATTGTTAAGACCACTATTATAAGAACTCAAGAAAGGGTTTAAACACAGAAGAAAACATTCTTTGATGGTTATGAGGGTGGGGAGGGAGGGAGAGGGTGTTCACTAGCCAGATAGTAAACAAGAATTATCTTAGGTTAAGGGAAGGACAACACACACTACAGGGGAAGTCAGCACAACTGGACTAAACCAAAGCTAAGAAGTTTCTTGAATATAAACAAATACTTCAAGGGACAGAATAGCAGGAGCGGAGGTCTGGGGACAATGGATTCAGGGAACATCTAGGTCACTTGGCATAATAAAGTTCATTAAGAAAATATTCTGCATCCCACTTTGGTGAGTGGTGTCTGGGGTCTTAAAAGCTAGCAAGCGGCCATCTAAGATGTATCAATTGGTCCCAACCCACCTGGAGCAAAGGAGAATGAAGAACACCAAAGACACAAGGAAAGTATTAGCCCAAGAGACAGAAAGGGCCACATAAACCAGAGACTTCATCAGCCTAAGATCAGAAGAACTAGATGGTGCCCGCCTACCACCAATGACCGCCCTGACAGGGAACACAACAGAGAGTTCCTCATGGAGCAGGAGAAAAGTGGGGTGCAGAACTCAAAGTCTAGTAAAAAGACCAGACTTAATGGTTTGATTGAGACTGGAGGGACCCTGAAGACATGGCTCCCAGACTCTCTGTTAGCACAAAACTAAAACCATTTCCAAGGCCAACTCTTTAGACAAAGATTAGACTGGACTATGAGATATAAAATGGTACTCGTGAAGAGTGTGCTTCTTAGCTCAAGTAGATACATGAGACTAAATGGGCAGCTCCTGTCCAGAGGTGAGATGAGAAGGCACAGAGGGTCAGGAGCTAGTTGAACGGACATGGAAAATCCGGGGTATGGAAAGGAGGAGTGTGCTGTCACAGTACAGGGAGAGCAACTAGGGTCACATAACAATGTATGTATAAATTTTTGTATGAGAGATTAACTTGAATAGTAAACTTTCACTTAAAGCACAACAATTAAAAAAAACTAAAAACAAAAAAGGAAAGAATTAAAATATGAAAATTGAGTAATCATGGAAAGCAAAAGGCATATTCAGAAACATTTATTAAAAACATTGAGATAGATAGTGACTCCATACTATAAAGAGCAAGAGTGATGAGGTTTAAAAGATGGGTGAAACACATGGGATGTATGAAATTCTCTGCAAACCATTTGTACCATTCTTACCATTTGCCTGGCCTTACTCTAATCATTTTCTGGAGGACATCGCAAAATGTGCATATATTTTAAATTCAACCTAGCCCCAATTTAATGGGGAAAATAAGACCAACAAACATGTATAGTTATTTGTTCAAATTGGATGCTTACAATTCAGTTATAGTTATTTCCTTACTATATGAAATATGAAATAATATACTTGCAACACAGCCTAGGTATGAGTGTTTAAAATTGGAAAGCTTTTCTAAAGGACTGTATGATGGGATGTGTAAGGGTATTTGAAAATAGCTCATATGGTTAAACATGACACCTCATTAGCTCGCATTTGATCACTTCTGCTTTATAAAATAGTCTTGCACAGAATGAATTCAGTAATGAGTGTTCTGTGAAGGGTTTAGTAGTCAGGCTAAACTCTATTTCATTTGAGAAACGTTTCCAAGATTGTTTTTGTCTAACATTAATTGCCATGTTTTCACAGCCACAGCTTGTGATGGAAGATTTTTATTAACTGGATCTTCTGGGTCCTTCCAGGCAGCCCGTTATCCAAATTCTTCTAAATCCATTGTTGTTTGCCAGTGGATTATACGGTAATATGCCATCTTCTATTTTCTGTTCTTAAGTCATAAATTATTTCTCTGATATAATAAGTCTTACCACTTTTAGTTGTTTTGTTTTTCCAATTGCCATCTTCATTAGCAATGAAGAAAAGCCCTATCCACTACCAAGGTGTCCAAGATTTTCCCTCATTCTTAACCTTTTCAAATGGTATTCTGTCGTCCTATGAACAATACTGTCTCATAAATGGGGTCATATCATTGGACTCTGCAGAAAGTTTTTTTCCCACTGTGGATGGCATAAATCAAGTGCTGCTGAGGTGAACAGCACACTTGTATGGCTTTGCCTCTCAGTAAATAGAATTTCATGTCACCTACAACCTGGCTACAGAATAGTTCCTCTCTCAATATGCCAGTACCTGTATGACTATCTCCTATGGTGTGATTCACAGCAGGTTAAGAGCCAAGAAAACCCTCTAGATAAATCCTTTTGCTGTATTGACACTTGGATCAGTTACTACATATTTGAGCTCCAAGTTCTTAATTCAACTGAACAATCTAATTATTATGAAAATCAAAATAATCGGGATGCTGATGGCTGATCTACTTCAATGTTCACTCATGGAATTTTCCCAGAGGAGGAGTATTACAAGTTCTCTCAGATATTCCAAGGGGAAAGAAAGAACTTCTAGTCAAATAAATATACAGAATAAATTCACTACAATTTTAAAAAAAAAAAAAAAGTGAAGAACTTTTCATAGCCCTAAATATGTTAATAGGTAATGTAAACCTCTAAAACAAATTGTTTCCTATTAAGTCACTGATTTTTCCACCCACAGGGCATGTGGAACAAGTACGCCATAAAATTCACTTTGAGAAGTTACATTCTACTTAGTTTATTTCTCTTATAACAGCTGGATGGGATTATGGTTTTCCAATCTGTATGATAGTTTTAAGCACTGCGATGAGTCACTTGAAAACTTAGGGAATCAGCATGACAGCTGATTAAAGAAGCTTCACAAGCACAGTCTTAGGTTCTCATCAAACAAATGATACGAAATGACCTCATAAAGCCTCACAACGGTAGTTTTCCAGGGTGGACATACCCTAGAAATGAAGTGGAGTGTGAAGAGAAGATTGTTCTAAACAAATTTACTTGGTATTATTCAGTAAAAAAAAAAAAAAAAAAGACAAAACAAAACATCCTCCTGTTCTCTTTAAATAATTTCCCTTCTGGAGCTCAGTCCCATGTAAGACATATTTGTAACTAAGAACACAATTCCCTCTCTTTTTATGCTAGACAACATGTTACTTATGTGTTGAAATAAGATTTTGTATTAAAATTTTTGTATTAAAAATGGAGACTTTAAGTAATTTTTGCTAACTGAAAAATTAACCATTTTAAGGAAGTGTTTGACTGCTAACCAAAAGGTCAGCAGTTCAAATTCACCCGTTGTTCCTTGGAAGCCCTGTGGGGCAGTTCTATTCTATTCTATAGGGTCGCTATGAGTCAGAATCGACTCGATGGCAATGGTGTTATTTTATTTTATTTTTTTACTTCTATCCCTAAGAATACATATCACATCAATTTTCAAGGAAGCACTTATAAATGGCTATCAGCATTATCCATAGGGAAAATGAAAAATAATCTTACTTTTTAGTTAAATGGCAGCGGAAAGCCTTAGAAAAATCTTAAATTGCTTTCACTGAAAATGGAAATACAATCTGAACCTAAATTATCTGAACCCTTAAGTACACAATGGTTTCTTCTTTGGAATTTTATTAATACCAAATAAAGACAATTTAATTGTTAAGTCTACTTACTAATACTGGTAGATCAAACATAGAGGGCATATAAGCACAATACAATGAACTTATGGTATAATGATGATATCATTTATGTAATATTCTCCCTATGTTAATTAAGGATTTGTTTGCTTCTATTCTTTTTGCTTCCTTTTCCTTAATCCTATTTTAATAAATCCATTATTAGTGCAGGGATGATTTTATAGAACTGAAGAAATCTAAAATGTTACCTCAATTTAAATGCTGTGCTTCTTGATGAAATTGCAGTTTTATCAAACATATAAATGATCTAACTTTTTTCTTATCAAAACTTATTACTGTATTAAAGATGCAATGTTCCAGGAATTTTGTTTCACTTCATAGTGATCAGACTGAAGGAAAAGATAATGATTTTTCCTACAAGCTTGGAAGACCAAGTCGTAAAGAAATGTTTGTGATGCAATTGAACTATATTTTGGATTAGATCTACCCAGACATGGAGTTACATTCAGACAATATTTAACATAGTGCCAGTGGTTAAAACTGTGGGCAATAGAGGTAATCTCTGTAGGTTCAAATCCCTGTTTCTTCAGATTCAAGATGTGTGGTCTCATGCAAATGATTTAACCTCTTTGAACCAAATTTCTATATCCATAAAGTAGAATTCAACATTTCTAACTACAGGGTCAAAGTCATTATTAAATATAATAATGACTATAAAGTGCTTAGCTTCATATTAAATACTCAATAAAAGAGGGCTATAAAAATATTAGTTATTATTACAAAGATGCAAAATGTGTAAGCTAAATTTAGAAAAGCATCCATTCCCTTCAAAAAATCTGAAGGTAACCACGGTGGCTAATATAATAAAAATATCAGGTATCATATTCTCCAATTAAATTTACCTTTATAAATGCCAGTGGTTTTTATGCAAGTGAGTGTGTTTTTTTTAATAAGAGAGAAGTAGAAAACAGTATGCACTTTGTTATGTCTTCTACCTTCCATTATCTATACTGAGAAAGTAAAAGATCCCTGACCATAAAGATTTCTAGGGAGCTTCTCCAGCATCCCTTAGTTTCATGACTTGAATACAATAGTGCATGAAGAAAAACTCACTGTAATCTTGCCTAGAGATACCAAAACTTTAATTAAAAGAGCAGAAATCATCCTGAATACTGCTTTATTTCTTCTGCCTCTGTCTTCTTCAGTTTTGATGCTGATGCCCTGAAAGCGTCATCAACAGGCTGTCTCTGCCTGTCCCTGTACTGATGCTAACAGATGCAGAGCTTGTATAAACAGCCACCACCATCACCTTTGCTCTCCTTCTCTCAGGCTGAGCTGGGAAGATCCAGCCATAAAGACTTCTCCCCTACGTTGATCTCCTCATCCCCTCATTGTCCCACCTCCCATGTCCCACCCCCTTCAGCCCCCTTGAAGTTACCAAATATGCCTCTGAGTGTAGCATCCACTGCATCTACTCTCTTACTTCAGTTTCCCTCAAACCCAAGAGCACATCACACTCACTGATGGAGCTTTTAAAAATGGAAACCTCAGAATCCACTCCAGAATTGCTAGATCTGATATTCAGGGCTGGCATCCATTGTCCTGACTTCACTTCCCTTGCAGTGCACACTGGTAAGATCCAGAAACCTGGATTTCTGCTTACTTCAAGTCTTGTCCTTGTAGTAACTACCATTTCAATATCACCATCTCTACTCCTTGACTAAACTCTAGTCTATAAATTCATCCTACTGACTAGGATTCTAATTCCATATTTACCAAACCTGGGTTTTTGCCACAAATAGACACTCCCCAGCAAAAATCTTTAGATTTTCCAAAATTAACTAACATTGTGTTGGATGTCTCCAACTGCTTGATTGGCCAGGCTACTACTGATGAATTGTGTAAAAGCCAGGCTTGCCATGCTCTCGGCCAGTTGGCCTTGTCAATCCAGCATCCTCCAGGGCCACACTCTGAAAAAAATAATTTCTCTAAGCTCCTGCCTGGCTTTGGAAACTAGGTCTCTACTTATTATTAGTTCTTTCTGACCTCTCTTCTGGTTCTATCTGCAGACAATCCATCCTGTCTCATTTCCAACCAGTCTAGACACTATAACTTGATCCCATTTCCCATCCTAAAGCTCTTCTTTATCTGGCACACTGAAGGGTTGAGGGGGCCTTTGTACTTCCAAAATACTCTAAGGGCTCCTTCACATTTCTTTGTCTATTTACAGGGACAGTGGACCTGTAAATACAGGTTGCCCTAGACATCTCATCCTTTTTCCTATGTTTAAAGTTGGAAAATGAAAATTCTATATTTAAATATCAAATTAAAACTTTCTAATGATCCTGTCAAAACTTTCCTCCTATTCTCTTACACTGGCACCTACATACATTATTTTTTTCCCTCATAAACAAGCATGTACTAGTTTCTATGAAGTATTGGAGAATATAAGACAGATAAATTAATCCCTGTCTTTGAGTCACACTAATTCTTTGAGTCACACTAATTCTTTGTGTCACACAATTAAGTGTTGTTGTTAATTGCCATTGAGTCCATTCCAACTTATGGCATCCCCGTGTGTGTAGAGTAGAACTGCTCCATAGAGTTTTCCGGAGCCCTGGTGGCGCAAGGCTGTGACCTTTTGGAAGCAGATCGCCAGGCCTGTCTCCCAAGACTATTATGTAACTAAAAATTGTAGAAGTTGATAATTTCCACATTAATGGTATAGATAACACAGTGTTTCTACTCCAAGTAAAGGGATAGCAACAGACCAAAATACAGATAATTAAAAACTGTCCTTATTTCATCTTACTTTCTTTAAGAATAAATGGTTATGAGGATTAAAAACAAAAGTAAAAACCTAAATACAGTAAGTGAATATAGTGTGAATTATAAATAATTTGTCTTAAAACTGTTTGAATTGAGTAAATATTCATATATCAACTACATTGACCAGTTAGCTATGTACCTTTTTTTATTACCTAAAAATGTACTAAATAAAATTATCAAACTTTAAAAAATGGACTTTTGATAGTATAATGTATATATTCTTTACATTTTGATATGCTACAAATAAATTTCACAGTATAAATTACAGAATAACTTGTTGCCATTGAGTCTATTCCAACTCATAGTGACCCCATAGCATAAGGTTTTCCAAGGAGCAGATAGTGGATTTGAATGGCTGACCTTTTGGTTAGCAGCCGTAATTCAACCACTGCACCGTCATGGATCCTAAACATAATAACTGGACCTAAATTCATTTGAAAACTAGTCTGAAATGTCTTTAGGAAATGCATTCACAGTCTAGAAGGCATTAAGAAATGTGACAACTGTTCAGAGTTTAATAATCTATTTTTTGCTTTTGATTTAGAGTAAACCAAGGACTTTCCATTGAACTGAGCTTTGATTATTTTAATATATACTACACCGATGTATTAAATATTTATGAAGGCATAGGATCGAGCAAGATTTTAAGAGGTAAGTTAAAGCAAATACACAATCTATTATCAAAATGAAAATACGTATGAAATTTTTTGGAGTGGTGTGTTTTCTCTTTGATTTTGAACTAGATAGGGACTAGAACTTTAAGTCACTAAAAGGAATAAGCAAAATTGGTTCCCAATATGAGAAATGAGAAATTCAGTGCTCCATGTAATTTTTCTAGTAATAAAATAATCACTCTTTCACGTGGTGCTCTTCTAATTAGTCCTTTTTTTTTAAATGTGGAATTTGTCAGAAGTATAATTATGTCCTTGCTTAACATGCATTGTTTAAAAGCTACTCCCCATTAAACAAAATTCAGAAAAACCCTAAGAACTACTGTTATCTATCTCTGCAACATTGCATAGGTTATAAACTCACAGAGTCTCTATGCTTATTCACAGTGTGTACACTACTCCTGGCTCTGGCACAACTGTTATGACATTAAAAGCACCTAGCAAAGGATAGAGGCTTGGTAAATGAATGGTATTATTATTATTGCATAAACATTTATCTTTAGTACATGGGCACTGTCTTAGGCTGGGTTCTCTAGAGGAACAAAACCAGTGATGCGTGTATATATATTTAGAGAAAGAGAGAGAGAGATCTATTTCAATGAAATGACTCATGCAGTTATGGAGGCTGGCAAGTCCCAAATCCGTGGATCAGAGGTCAGGCTGGCATCTTCTCCTGACTCATGTGTTTGCAGGGGCTGACGAACCCAAAATCGGCAAGTCAAATGACAGGCTGCTGGCTCACAGGTCTGCGGGAGCTGGCAAATTCCAAAATCTGCAGGTCAGACAGCAAGCTGCTGGCTCACATCCCAAGAACTGGAGGTTAGAGAATGACAAGTTAGATGCAGGATCAAGAGAGAGAGCTTTGTCAGAACATCCAAATACATTGGATGCAGGCCACACTTTCAAGAAAACGCGCCTTTCAGCTGATTGACCCTTTCAAACTGATTCCCCTTTCAAACAGATCACAAAAATGGAAGATGATTACATAACAGCTGCCAAACCACCAAGAATTGTGGCCTAGCTAAGCTGACATATAACTTCAACCATCACAGGCACTGATGAAAACTGACAAAAGGGCAGACAGTGGCATTTAAAATACATGTGCGCCCACACAACTTTACTCCACTTGACCCTGAAATGCACAGTCCGATTCATGGTAGCCAATGAAGTAGGGACAAAATTCCAGGAGGAAATAAAATGAGGATGAAGAAGACAATGCACAAATGGGGTTTAGTAAATAACCAGTTTGTCTCACATTTTGGAGGTGGAGCCATGTGTAGAGCTGAGATGAGGTTACACGTGACATCTATTTTACAGTTTACTTAATAGCTGCATTTATCTTAATAATTTTATACTCGTGGGTGATAAAAAGTGAATCCTATCAATGAAGTGTTTTTGATTTATTTAATGACTGATTTGAGAAATAGTTAACCATGTAATAATAATAGTTTTTATTGGGTGCTATGTATGTGACTGTCACTGTACTAAGGACTTTCAGGTGGACTTTCTCATTTAATATTTCCAATAACTCTGTCAAGTACACAATACTGGTTAGAACCCACCCAGCAGCTCCAAGGGAGAGAGACCTAGCCATCTGCTCCCATAAAGATTACAGCCTAGAAAACCCTACGGAGGAAGTTCTACTCTGTCACATGGGGACACTATGAGTTGAAATCAAACTCGACGGCACCCAACAACAACACTATTATATTATACCAAGGGAAACTGAGGCACGGAGAAACCTGCTAAGACACAGAACCAGGACTGAATTGGCATGCTGACCCTGGGGCTCCGATTCTTAACCAATACCCTACACTATATTCCCAAATACGTAAAGATACACACCTCTCATTGTATCAGTGGTTTTGGAATGTTTTGGAGCCAAGGAGACTTAAAGAATTTGATGAAAGTTTTACAAACTCCCCATGAACACACATATTCCACACCCTTTCCAGAGGTTTGTATGCATCTCGAAAGCACATTAATGGACCAAAGGATGTAAACTCTCGAACTATCTAGATGACTGCAGTAAACACCAGACAATGTGGAAATCCAACATACTGCAAATATCAAGGCTGCCATTCAGCCACTGCCGCTTTCAGATTCAAGCATAAGCCATTGCCCCCCCAAACTCCATTGCTATGGAAAAGAAAGAAAGCAAGGAAGAGAAAGGCAGATAAGTTTGAAGTGAAGTTTTTAGAATGTTCACTTCGTAAGTAAGTAGAGATTACCAACTACAAAAGTTTTCATTCAATATGAGAACCATTTGGGTTACACAGTGCCATATGCTGGTGGGAGGAGTTTCTTCATGAGAAGATACTGAACAAATGTCACACAATATTTTTAGAGAAAACATGGAGGTGTGAATCAATGTTTGTTAGTGGTACTCTTCCTATTTGATTCTGCTGAAATTATAGTGCATGTTTCACATGTTTTTGGGCAAAATTCAGTATGATAATCACAGAATCCCAAATAGTTTATAAAAGTGTCCCTGTTTAGAACTCAGTAAGTAAAACAATAGTGCTTTGTCTCCAACATGCAAGTGTGATACCTCCCATGGACCTGAATCGGAAGCCTAGTTCAGATTATCAAACTAAGATGCTAAATCATTGCTTATTTTACCTTTTTTCATTATCACTCCCCACTAAGGGGTCTTTTTAGACTTGTTTTCCTAACTGCTCCCCGTGAAATTTTAATATCACAGTTATACTGTATATCTGTTTATATACCATATACATAGACCTTGCACATGCATGTATATGCCATATACATTAAGAAAGTAAGTTTTTTTTGTTTGCTTTTTGTTTTTGCCCTCAAGAATCAATTTTCACCCTCTTGAGAAAAATATCATCCCTTTGGGGAACACATGTGCTAGAGTATAAAGGTTTTTGAAGGCAAATTTCATTTAACAATGATTTTTATAAATCATCATATACCAAGCACTATACTAAGCCTTGGAAATAAAAAATCTGGAAAGATATTCCTTAAGGAGCTCAGAAGCAAGACAGAAAAATGAGAAAATCAATATAAAATGATGTAAGAACCATCTGCTGGCCATGAGGATTATTTTGAGGTCTCACCGTTTTAAGGAAATACTGTTTGTTTCTATTACTGTGACCCAGTTTTAGCCCCTGTTGGCGTGGCATGGGAAATGCCTGATAGAGCCAAACGATCTTTAAGTTTTACAAATGCTTAACTTGTGTGTTTCTTAAGGAAACTTTTTCAGTAAAGGAGTGCACATTTTATTTTTATATTATACGTATATACACCCATTATTAACTGTTGAGTTGATTCCGACTCATAGCAACCCTATAGGACAGATTAGAACTGCCCCATAGAGTTTCCAAGGAGTGGCTGGTAGATTTGAACTGCCAACCTTTTGGTTAGCAGCTGAGCTCTTAACCACTGCACCATCAGGGCTCCATATGTATATGTACACATATATATATATAGCTAATAATTTAAAAAAATAAAAAATATAGTTTGTTTTCTCACACAAACATTAGTTTGTTTTCTCATATCAGTCTTTCTAGATTTTCTTTATTTAAAATAATGAAATAATAAATGTATTTAAATGAAAAAACAGTAATCAAACAGAGAAATAAAAGTGTTTCAAAAAACGTATTGTGTCCTATAGTGTGAAGTTTTCCTATGTTTAGACAAAGAGCTATTTCAATTAAAATAAAATAATTATAGGACTAATGCTTTTAGTTAACTAAGTGCTATCAGATTAGATAGATAGATAGATACTGTACATTTAACACTTATTCTTTTTTTTTTTTTTTTTTGGTAGCTTCTATCTGGGAAACCAATCCTGGTATAATTAGGATCTTTTCCAACCAAGTTACTGCCACCTTTTTTATAGAACCTGATGAAAATGAATACACTGGCTTTAATGCAACATACACTACATTTAACAGCAGAGAGCTTAACAGTAAGTATTGTTTATTCTTTAGCCTTTAAATTTTCAGATGTTTTAGTATTGTAATGAGATTTTAAATGTAGCAGAATCTACAATTTTATAACAAGATTGTAACCTGTTTCATGATGCAAGTTCTTAAAACAGTATCTCTTATGTACAGCTCTGTCTACTTGATACTTGGAAAGAAATGAGAAGTTAGAAAATAGTGCTCATTCTTCCAATGAATTGAATAACCAATCTGAGAAAAATTACCAATCAAATAAAAAACTTAGATAATATTTATCTTCTGCAAGTATTAAAAGTAAAAAAGAAAAAAAATCTTAGCATAAAACAGTTCTGAGGGGAACTCCACATTAACTTAATTTTGACCAGAGTTTTAAATTTAGTAATAGGGGAGAGAAAAATGTGAGACAAAGTTTATGTGGGTAAACGAATGGAAACAAGATGTAAAAATTATGTTAAAGAAACAGTAAGTGAATCTTTGCTAAAATCCTGATGGGATCTACAAAACACATGACTCTAGCAAAATTGACAACGAAGGCTGTTTTTTGAACTAAGTGAAATGAAACAGATAAAACGGATAAAGAAGAATTATTTTGTGTTTGCCACTTAATTATAAACTATCAAATTAGATTATCTTCTGTGAAATACATTACAACTATTCACATTGTGAACTACATTTGAGTGGTTTTTTTTTCATTTCTTTTTCAATTCACAGATGATGATAAAATTAATTGCAATTTTGAGGATGGTTTTTGTTTCTGGATCCAGGATCTAAATGATGATAATGAATGGGAAAGGATTCAAGGAAACACCTTTCCTCCCTTCACTGGACCAAATTTTGACCACACTTTGGGAAATATTTCAGGTATAATTTATTTTATTCATAAATCAAAAGGAAAACACTGTATGTTGTTCTCCTGTGGGTTAAAGGGAGCAGCATTAATACAAGACAGTCTTTCCAGATTTTCTTTATTTAAAATAATGAAATAATAAATGTATTTAAATGAAAAAAGAGTAATCAGAGAGAGAAGTAAAAGTGAGTGTGTTTCAAAAAACATATTGTATCCTATACATTCACAACAGGTTGAAAAGTACACAGAGGCAAATAGGTACAAGGAGACTTGTGTTGTCGCTCCAGGTCTGCCACTTACTATTAGCTAAGTGAGGTAATTAACTTTCCTGAACTTTGTTTACCTTTGCCTTAATTTCATTTTTGGACTGTTCGTTGCTCATGTATAGAAAAACAATTGATTTTCATATATTAATCTTGTATCCTGCAACCTTGGTGAACTCATTTACTAGCTCTAACAGTTTTCAAGGATTTCTTAGGATATTCTATATACAAGATTATGTTACCTTGAGAAAGGTCATGGAAGCTCCATAGACACATCCAAACTCCCTGAGGGACCAAATTGCTGGGCGGAGTGCAGTGGGGACCACGGTCTCCGGGAACATCTAGCTCAATTGGCATAACAGTTTATAAAGAAAAGTTCTACATTCTACCTTGGTCCGTAGCGACTGGGGTCTTAAAAGCCTGTAAGCAGCCATCTACGATACCCCACTTGTTTTACCCCTTCGGGAGCAAGGGAGAATGAAAAAAACAAGATACAAGGGAAAGATTAGTCCAAAGGACTAATGGATCACAACTACTACAGCCTCCAACAGACTGAGTCGAGTACAACTAGATGGTGCCTGGCTACCACCACTGACTGCTCTGACAGCGATCACAACAGAGGGTCCCAGACAGAGCTGGAGAAAAATGTAGAACAAAATTCTAACTCACAAAAAGACCAGACTTACTGGCCTGACAGAGACTGGAGAAACCCCGAGAGTATGGCCCCCGGACACACTTTTAGCTTAGTAATGAAGTCACTCCCGAGGTTCACCATTCAGCCAAAGATTAGACAGCCCCATAAAACAAAACAAGACTAATGGGGCACAATAGTCCAGCGACAAGGACTAGAAGGCAAGAGGCGACAGGAAAGCTGGTAACAGGGAACCTAAGGTTGAGAAGGGACAGTGTTGACATGTCGTGGGGTTGTTAACCATTGCCATAAAACAATATGTGTACTAACTGTTTAATGAGAAACTATTTGTTCTGTAAACCTTCATCTAAAGTACAATAAAAAATAAATTAATTTAAAAAAAAAGATTATGTTACCTTGAGATAGTTTTACTTCTTCCTTTACATTCTGGATGACTTTTTATTTCTTTTTCTTACCTAATTTCTCTGGGTAGAACCTCCAGTACAATGCTGACTCAAAATGGCAAGAGTGGACATGCTTATCTTTGTCCTGATTTTAGAAGAAGAGCTTTCAGTCTTTCACCATAAATTATGATGTTAGCTGTGGGTGTTTTGTAGATACCCTTTATCAGTGCGAGGAAAGTCCCTTTTGTTCTTTGTCTGTCAAATGCTTTCTCTGTGTTCATTGAGATGACAATGTGGTTTTTGCACTTTATGCTATTAATATGATGTGTTATATTGATCGCTTTTTGTGTGTTGAATCAATCTTGTGTTCCTGGGATAAATCCCACTTGATCATGGTGTATAATCCTTTTTGTATGTTGCTGGATTTTGTTTGCTAGTATGTTGTTGAGCATTTTTGCTTGTATATTCATAAGGGATGTTTCTTGATACTTTTCTTCTCTTATGATGTCTCAGTGCTTTTAGCATCAGGGTAATACCGAACCTAATAGAATAAGATGGGAAATATTCCCTCTTCTTCTTTTTTTTTTTTTGATTGACACATAGGCTACAACAATGGGCTCAAGCATAAAAGTGATTGTGAAGATGGCACAGGACCAGGCATTGTTTTGTTCTGTTGTACATAAGGTCACCATGAGTTGGAACCAACTCAATGGCACCTAACAACAACTTCAATTTTTTAGAAGTTTGTCAAAAGTGGGTGTTAAATATTTTTTAAGTGTTTGGTAGAATTCATCATTGAAGTTCTGTTGGGCTTGAGCCTTTCTTTGTGAAAAGTTTTTATTTGTTATAGGGCTATTCAGAGTTTCTGTTTCTTCCTTGAGCCAATTTCATTGGTTTATGTCTTTCTAGGAATTTGTCCATTTCATTTAGGTTATGTAATTTGTCCGCCTACAATTACTTATAGTCTTACCTTATAATTGTTTCATTTCTGTAAGGTCCATAACAATGTTCCTCTTTCATTACTGCTTTTGGTAATTGGAGTATTTTCTATTGTTTTCTTTGTCAGTCTAGCTAAAGATTTAGATCTTTCCAAAGAGCTAACTTTTGCTGTTGCTCATTTTCTCAATTTTTTTCTTCCTTTTTCTCTATCGCACTTATTTCCATTTGCATCTTTATTATTTGCTTCCTTCTCCTTGCTTTGTGTTTAGTTTTCTCTCTCTCTTTTAATTTCTAACATGGATGATTAGGTTATTGATTTGCTATCTTCTTTTTAATATAGACTTCAGCAGCTATAAATTTCCATGTAAGCATTGCTCTTTCTGCTTTATGTAAGTATTGGTATCTTTTGTTATCATTTTCATTCATCCCAAGGTACTTTATAATTTCCCATGTGATTTTTTTCTTGGATCCATTGGTTATATAGAATGTGGTGTTTAATTTCCACATATTTGTGATTTTCCCAATTTTCTCCAGGACATTGATTTCTAAATAATTTCATTTTGACCTGAGAGCATATATTGATTGTAATTCTTTTAAATTGATTGAGTCTTCTTCTTTTAATACCCAGCATAAGGTCCATTCTGGAGAATGTTCCAAGTATACTTGGAAAGAATATGTATTCTGCTACCATTGGGTGCAGTGTTATATAGATGTCTGTTAGGACTAGTTGGTGTATAGTGCTATTCAGGTTTTCTATTTACTTGTTGATCTTTTGTCTAGTTATATCCATTATTGAAAGGTGGGTATTGATGTCTCTAACTATTATTGTTGAATTATCTATTTCTCCAACTATTATTGTTGAATTATCTATTTCTCCCTTCAGTTCTGACACTTTGATTTCATGTATTCCAAGCCTTGTTTTTAGATACATATATGCTTATAATTGTTATTTTTACCTGATAGATTGGCCCTTTTGTCATTAAAAAACATCTTTGTCTGTAGGAAAAATTTTTGCTTTGAAGTCTGTTTTATGTGATATTAGTGTAGTTATTTCAGCTCTCTTTTGGTTACTGTTTGCAGCACATATCTTTTTCCATCCTTTTTCTTTCAAACTATTAGTGTCTAAAGTGTGTCTCTTGTAGACAGTATATAGTTGATCATGTTTTTTATTCATTCTACCAATCTCTGCCTTTTAATTGAAGTGCTTAATCAATTTACATTTAATGTAATTACTGAAAAACTGGGATTTACAGCTGCCAATTTGCTCTGTTTTCTGTATGTATTATGTTTTTATTGCTGTTGTTGTTCTTCTATTCCTCCATTAAGGACTTCTTTTGCATTAAGTAGATATTTTCTAGCATACCGCTTTAATTCTCTTCTCATTTAAGATGTCTTTTTTAAAATATCTTTTTAATGGCTTCTCTATTTATTATAATTAATGGCTTAACATAACAATCTAGCTCAGATAAAACCATCTTAATAGGATTCAATATCTTTGCTTCTATACATCTCACTTCTTTCCTCCTCTTTCCACCCTGTGTCTGTCAGTTTGTCATACTGTGGTGCTTGTGTGTTGCTGCGATACTGGAAGTTTTGCCACTGGTATTTCAAGTTACAGCAGGGTCACCCTTAGTGGACAAGTTTCAGTGTAGCTTCCAGACTAAGATAGATTAGTAAGAAAGACTAGCAGTCTACTTCTGACAAAATTGACCAGTAAAAACCTTATGAATCGTAGCGGAATATTGTTTGATATAGTGCCAGAAGATAAACCCCTTAGGTTTGAAGGCACTGAAAATATGACTAGGGAAGAGCTGCCTCCTCAAAGCAGAGTCGACCTTAATGACATGAATGGGTCAAGCTTTCGGGACCTTCGTCAGCTGATGTGACATGACTCAAAATGAGAAGAGACATCTGCAAACATCCGTTAATAACCGGAAAGGGGAATATAGGAAAATTGGAAGTTGTCAAAAATTAAATGGAATGCATAAAGATCGATATCCTAGGCATTAGTGAGCTGAAATGGACTGGTATTGGCCATTTTAAAGCAGACAATCATATGGTCTACTATGACGGGAAGGACAAATTGAAGAGGAATGGTGTCGCGTTCATCACCAAAAAGAAGATTTCAAAATCTATCCTGAAGTACAATGCCATCAGTGATAGAATAACATTATATGACTACTAGGAAGACCGGTAAATACGATTATTATTCAAATTTACACACCAATCACTAAAGCTAAAGAGAAAGAAATTAAAGATTTTTATCAACTTATGCAGTCTGAAATTGATCAAACATGTAATCAAGATGATTGATAATTACTAGTGATTGGAATGCAAAAGTTGGAAACAAAGAAGAAGGATTGGTAGCTGAAAAATATGGCCTTGGTGATAGAAATGATGCTGGAGTTCGCATGACTAGAATTCTGCAAGACCAAATACCTTCTTTCAACAACAAAAATGGCAACTATACACGTGGACCTGGCCATATGCAAAACACAGGCATTGAATCGACTACATTTGTGGAAAGAAACGATGGAAAACTCAGTATCATCAGTCAGAACAAGGCCAGGGGCCGACTGTGGAACAGACCATCAATTGCTCATATTCAAGTTCAAATTGAAGTTGAAGAAAATTATAACAAGTCCACAAGAGCCAAAGTACAACCTTGGGTATATCCCACCTGAAATTAGAGACCACCTCAAGAATAGACGAGATGAGTTGACTAATGACCGAAGACCAGACGAGTTGTGGAATGACATCAAGGACATCATACATGA